AAAACCAGAAAGATTTAATAAACATTAACACAACAGAAGTAAAGAAAATGACAAGAAAACTCACAACAAAACGAACTCAGTACAGAAAATTATGTGGAACAAAGAAACAAGCAGCACCAAACACACACACACACACACACAAAAAAAAACATACAGCAAAATGACAGCAACCAATTCATACCTTTCAATAATTACACTGAATGTAAATGGATTAAATGCACCAATCAAGAGACAGAGAGAGCAGAATGGATAAGAAAACAGGATCCTTCAATATGCTGTCTACAAAATATACATCAAAAAGATAAAGACAGCCTAAATGTCCATCAACAAAAGAATGGTTACGCAAACTTTGGTACATACAAAACAATGGACTACTATGCAGCCCTGAAGAATAACAATGAATCTGTGAAACACCTCACAACATGGATGGACCTGGAGGCCAAAATTAGTCAATCACAAAAGAACAACTATTGTATGAAACCGATATTGTAAAAGTTAAGAAAAGGTTTCCTTAATAAACAATCCATGATGGTTACAGGGGGAGGAGGAAGGGAAATTTTTTTAGAGGCTAGAGGGCAGACACATGTTAACGTGGGTGACAAGACAGATAATATACAAAAGGGAGGTTAGAAGAGGGAAGATGAAGGTAATGGGAGACACAAGGAGGAATGTACTAGTTAAAGTGAATAGAGATAAATGCTGTTAACTGTTGTTAAGTACTGTTGAGTTGGTTCCAAACAATAGAGACCCTGTATAGAGCTTCCAAGGAGTGGTTGGTGAGCTTTACAGTCCAGTTGGTACGTGGATGGAATCTTAATCATTGTAATGAAACAAAGTCTAAGATTTGCTGAATATAAAACTGATGATCTGCTCTGTAATTCTTCACTTAATTTCACAATAAAAAGTTGTTTTGTTTTGTTTTTTTTAATGAAACAATAAAAACACAAATTCTCTCCCTGGTGTGAACCCCCAACTCCTATCCATCTCTATCCCTTTCTCTTACCTGCTTTACTCTTCTCCATGGCATGTGTCTCACCATCTAACGTATTGTATATTTAATTTTTTACTTGTTTCTGCCTCTTCCCATCAGAATACTAACCTTTCTGAGGGCAGGGATTTTTTCCACTGTTGAGGTTCAATTCATATTTCTAGCACCTGGAAATTGTGCCTCCCACAATAGATACATTAATAAACATTTGCTAAAGTTTTTAATGAAAGAAAAACGGCAGTGTCTTCCCTGTTCCATTCTAATCTACACAAAGAAACTAATTTCCTTGGAAAGTCCAACAATATCATTGACCTTAGTAAAGCAGCCAGTACTGTAGCCACTAGGTACCTACAGCTACTGAGCACATGAAATATAGCTAGTTTGAAGTGAAATGTGCAGTTGTTGCTGCTATTAGGTGCAACCAAGTCCTACTCACAGTGACTGTATATACAACAATAAAAACTGCTCAGTCCTATGCCATCCTCAAAATCATTGCTATGCTTGAGCCCATTGTTGTAACCACTGTGTCAATTCACCTAGTTGAGAGTCTTCTTTTTTGTTGACGCTTTACTAAGCATTATGTCCTTCTTCACGGACTGGTCCCTCCTGAAAACATATCCAAAGTATGTGTCTCACCATTCTCTCTTCAAAGGAACATTCTGGTTATAATTCTTGCGTTACATATTTGTTCATTCTTTTGGCAGTCCATGGTACATTCAGTATTCTTTGCCAACACCATAATTCAAATGCATGAATTCTTTTTTGGTCTTCATTACTCATTGCTCAGCTTTCACATGCATATGAGGCAATTGAAAATACCATGACTTGGGTCAAGTGCATGCTAGTTTTTGAACTGCCATATTTGCTTTTTAGCACTTTAAAGTAGATTTTTTGCAGCAGATTTGCCCAGTGCCATTTGTTATTGTTAAGTGCTGTCAAGTTGGTTGCAACCCTGTATAGGGTTTCCAAGGAGCAGCTGGTGAACTTGAACCACCGACCTTGCAGTTCAAACTGACTTCACAGTCCAGACTGCTGCTTCCATGGATATTGATTGTGGATCCATGCAAAATGAAATCCTTGACAACGTTAATATTTTGTTTATCATCATATTGCTTATGGTTGGTGGTTACGTGCCGTGAAGTCAGTTCTGACTCATAGTGACCCTGCAAAGGGTTTCCAAGGCTGTAAATCTTTACAGGAGCAGAAAGCCTCATCTTTCTCCCGCGTAACTACTGGCAGTTTCAAACTGCTGACCTTGAGATTAGCAACCTGACTCGTAACCACTACACTACCAGAACTCCTTCATATTGCTTTTAATCTTATATTAACTACATGTTGAAATATAGCATTTTGGATATATTAGGCTAAATAAACTACATTATTAAAATTAATTCACCTAAATTTTTGGTAAGAAACAAAAAATAATAATAATGACATATGTGACTGACGTGCAATACAAGTATATTTCTATTGGACAGAATGACCTAGAGTTCCCAGTGGACACAGAGAAACATTCACATTCTCACTGGCAAGCAAGGCCCTCCACAGCCTGGCTTCAATATGTTTTGCTAATGTTCTCTCTTTCTCCACCCTATCTACAAATTCATAAAACAGCCTAAATCTAGAACTCTCACTGTTCCTTCCATATACACTAATATTTTCCACATTTCTGCATTTTGAGGGTGGGGTAGGAGTAAGGAGTTAGGGTTAGGACTGATTATAGCTAGTTTTTGTTCAGCTTTAGGATTATGGTTAGGACTAGGGTTAGTGTTTGGGTTGGGGATTGGCCTAAAGCTAGGAGTAAGGTTTGGTCTAGTTTTAGGTTTACAGTTAGAATTCTTTTTATTTATTTTTTCTTGAATCTTCTTGATTTCCTCTTCATTCTAAGTTCTGAACTACATTATTCCTTCTTTTTATTTTTTGTGGTGGTTGTGTTGCAAACTGGTTTCTTTGTTCCCCATTTCTCAGTCTTGTAGGTTTGCTTTACTTTGAATACTCCTTTACCTATGGTGAGTTCTAGGTGACATTGCCATGTATGTTATTCTCAAGTCTTCTCTGCTATTGCTGTTGCTCTTTCCAAAGAATTCCCTTCAGCAGTTTTTATAAGGTTGGTCTGGTGTTTGGAAATTCTTTTAATTTCTGTTTACCTGAAAATGACCTGATTTTGTCATCATATTTGCTGGGTAATTTTGCTGGGTATATAATTCTTGGTTGGCAATTCTTTTCTTGCAGAGTTTTAAATATGCTGATATCTCATTGCCTTCTTACCTAAATCAGAGTTTAGTCTTACTGATTCGCCTTTATATGTAACTTTTCATTTTTCCTGAACTGCTCTCAGGATTCTTTCCTTGTCTTTAGTTTTGAAAAGTCTGGTTATGGTATGTCTTGGTGATTTCCTTTTGGAGTCTCCATCCTGCTTGGAAGGCGCTCTGGTAGCAGAGTGGTTACAAGTCAGGCTGCAAATCACAAGGTCAGAAATTGGAAACTACCAGTCATTTCACAGCAGAAAGATGAGGTTTTCTGCTCCCGGAAAGATTTACAGCCTCGGAAACCCTATGCTGGGTCACTATGAGTTGGAACTGGCTCCACAGCACACCATCTCCACCATCCTGTTTGGAGTTCTTAACTTCTTGAACAGCTATCTTCTTCTTTTTCATTACAGAAGTTGTCTTCCAACAATTTTGGAGACTTTTCTCTGTAGTTGTTTTTTGGGATTTTTTTTTTTTTTTTTTTTTTTGGCTCTTCCTGTTAAGGAATTCCAATCACACAATTAACTTACTCCTCTTGATAAATCTTAGGCTTTCTTTGAATTTTTTAATTATTTTTTCTGATATTTCCTCTAACAGATGAATATTGAGAGGTTTGTCTTCAAGCTCAATAATTCAACCTTTCATTGATTCAATTCTACTTAGCCCTTAATGGGCTACTTCTTAAGTCTTAGTATTAATTTTCTGGCTTTCTAATTGCTGCTTTTTTGTATAGTTTCCAATTTTTCATTTATTTTGCCAGTTTGTTCTTGTCGTGTTTTCCTGAATTCTTTTAAATCTGTGTTCTCCTTGCTTTCCTGGATCTTTCTCTCCAACCGTTGAATGTCCGTAAGTATCATTCCTCTAAATACCTTAATCAAGTAGGTCTGATACCATTTATGGTATTACACTTTGTGCCTGTATTTTGATCACTTGTTTGAGGCACTCTGTCTTGTTTATTTGTGTAAGCTGAAATTGTTTTCTCAGAGACAAAATTGATGATTGTATGTTAGTGTGTTCTCAGGCACTCATCACCTATCTCCTGGTGGATGTGATAGAGACTGGAAATGTGAACACATTTCTCTGTTGGCTGTTTGTGTAGGGTAGTTTAGGGCAGTGGGGAGATTCACGTGCCTCCAGAAGCAGGGATGGCGGTGCCCCACCCCAGACAAAGCCAATGCTATGCAGAAGGAAGTGCCTTTGGGTTGCTGAGAGCAGAGACTGGACATGCTCCTTGGGACCAGGAAGACACTTTACAAGGGAGAACGCAACCTGCTTGCCACCAACCTCCAGACGCTGATTCCTGCATTCCCAAGGCCCAAGGCTTATCCTCGTTCATGTGCCTACCTCTTTAAAAAGTTTTCTCAGCACCACTGTCTTTTCCATCTTTACGAGAACTTTCCCTCCAGAAGACTTGGGTGAACCCTGAGTTTTGTGTGTTTAAAGTTTATCCCTTTCCTCCCCTTAAACACACACCCTATCAGGGTGCCCAAAATATCGTCTCCTTGGTGGTCAGAGTTGGTCCTGACGCTTAAGTTTGCCCTTTACTCAGAATTTGGTAGATATTCATGCCGTGAATCTCACACTACTCGGATTACTGGGTTCTTACTGCCTGAGCCTGTGGCTCTCTCCCTGCCCTGACTGGCACTAAAGTGGACATCTTTGGCTTGGAGGGGGTGGGGTTGGAGTTGGAACGTGGAGCGCGCGAGGCCACAACCACTAGTTCTGAACCGTCAGGCAAGATCTTCGCAGGACTTCACCTCTAGGTGGCCACACCCCCGAATGCCTGCAAGTACCAGTCGCGCAGGCGCGTGGCCCTCGAGATGCGCGTGAAGGGAGGGGACGCGAGCGAGGGGCAGAGTCAAGACAAACACGTTGGTCCCGCCTACTGTGCCGGATATAAAATTCCCTCACCTGAGCGTGGTGTAAATTCAGCCAGCTGAGAAACGGAAGCAAGATGAGTTCTTCGAATCGGTCAATGCTCCTAGGTTACTGGGATATCCGCGGGGTAAGTGCCCCCTCAAACGCTGAGCCGCTTCGTCAGGCTGACGGACGCATAGGTGGCCGGCTCTCTAGGTCAGTGATCCCCGCCAAAAGTGCCTACTCTACCTCCAAGCATCTTCGGCCCCGCTCATTTCCGACAGCCCCAGCCGTACTCCCGGACTATGCCCTTCCTCGGGGATCGCTGAGGCCCGTGGGGAGGAACTGAGGACAGCAAACCATGGGACCGGTCTTGACCGCCACTAAACAACCACCCGGCAGATGCTGGGTCTGGGCAGCCTGTCGGTGGGGTCGAGACGTTGGTGGGAGAAGGGCGGGGGCGGGGTAGGGGTGAAGCAGGAGGGGCCGGGTGGGAGTTGCGCAGGCGCTAACCCCGTGCTATTCTCCCTTAGCTGGCTCATGCCATCCGCATGCTCCTAGAATTCACGGATACCAGTTATGAGGAGAAACGGTACACGTGCGGAGAAGGTAATGCCTGTTTGTCTTGGGCACTGATTTGTTGTTGCCCCGCATAACACTTAGTTGGCCGCTTGAAGATGCCATCAATCAAGGGTGCAGTGGAACTAATGCTCCAACCTAGGATCAGAAAGGTCTTGTGCGATGGTCCAATTCTGTAAAAAGAAAATGGTTAAACTATCTGGACCTGAGAATGTGAACTATTGGGGCTAGTTAATTTCCACTGACTTCTCAGGTGATATATCAAGGAGGTTGGGTCCCTCTTCATTCTCTCTCTTATAGCTCCTGACTATGATCGAAGCCAATGGCTGGATGTGAAATTCAAGCTAGACCTGGATTTTCCTAATGTGAGTGGTGTTGAGGGAAAGGGGTGAAAGGGAAGATATTTAACTGTATCCTCCTTCTCTGGTCTGGAAGAATCTAGGGTGATTGTTAGGTACCGTCAAGTTGCTTCTGACTCATAGCAATCCTATGCACAACTGAGTGAAACACTGTGGGGTCCTGCACCATTCTCATAATTATTATGTTTGAGCCTGTTGTAGTTGCCACTGTGTGGTCCAACTTGTTAGGGATCTTCCTCTTTTTGGCTGACCCTCCGCTTTTCCAAATGTGATGCCCTCCTCCAAAGACTGGTTTCTCATGACAGCATGTCCAAAGTACGAGAAATGAAATCTTGCCATCCTGCCATCTAAGGAGCAATTCTGGCTGTACTTATTCCAAAACAAATTTGTTTGTTCTGATGGTAATACATGGTACTTTCAGTGTTATTTGCCAACACCATAATTCAAATGCATCGATTCTTCCAGGTGTTCCTTATTCATTGTCCAACTTTAACATCCGTATGAGGTGATTGAAAATACCATGGCTAGGGTCTGGCACACCTTAGTCTTCCCTCTCTGGTATAAAAGGATCTAGAGTAGGGATTTTTCATCTCATTGGGGTGGGGCAGTGGTGGGTAAGTGGTAGAATTTTCACCCTCTATACAGCACACCAAAGAATCCTGGTGGTGCACTTGTGTAAGCACTTGGCTGCTAACCAAAAGGTTTGTGATTCCAACCCACCAGCCACTGTGGGAGAAAACATGTGGCAGGTACTTCCATAAAGATTTACAACCTTAGAAGCCCTGCAGGATATTTCTACTCTGTCATGTAGCATCACTATGATTCCAAACCAACTTGATGGCTATAGGTTTGGGGTTTTGGTAGGCTGGACACCCAGATTTGATTTCTAGCCAATGTACAGGCACCACTCTCTGTCAGTGGAGGTGTACAAGCTACTGTGATGCTGAAAAGATTTCAGCTGTGCTTCTAGACTAAGGCAGACTAGAAAGAAAGGCCTGGCAATCTACTTGGAAAAATCAACCCATGAAAAGTTATGGAGCACAACAGTCCACTCCACAGCTGAACAGTGTTTCATTCCATTGTGCATGCATCCCCATGAATCAGGAGTCAACTAGATAGCAGCTCATAGCAACCTGGATATAATAGGTACAATTCAAGGGTCCCTGAATATGGATGGAGAATAACAGCTACAGTTTCATTTCCACTACCTGCTGACATTTTCTTTTCTTGTGAATGTATCCATAGATAATAAGCCTTATTGGTTATTAGCTGCATCAGTGGCTTTGTCTCTAATAGAAATCAGGTACACCTGTTGCAGATCTAAGTATTTATGTATTATTTATACTCATATTACTTTGAAGATATGCTAGTATTAGACCTGTTATTTCATGCATCAATAAGCACATATTTATTATAATTTGATTTTTTTTAAATAGTTTTATAAATGTATGTAACTTGCCTTAAGTGTTAAAAACATTTTTCTGAGAAAGGATCCCTGGCACACATGCACATACACACATGCACACACACATACAGATTAAGAACTCCTGTGCCGAATCAGGGACCCAGTTGCTACCTCCTACTAAGCCGCTCCTCTCTCCTACTACATCATGTTCTCTCTCCTGTCAACTTCCCTGAAACCTCATCATCATCTCCAGGGGAAAGAAAGTGGGGCGGAGGAGGCAGAAGAGAACCAGGTTGCTCACTTGATATTCTTTGCCTTCTAGTTGCCCTACCTTGTGGATGGGAAGAACAAGATCACCCAAAGCAATGCCATTTTGCGCTACATCGCTCGCAAGCACAATATGTGTGAGTAGAGAATGCTGGTAAGGGAGACCAGGCTGATTGTTCACCAAAAGTGGGTGCAGTCTTAAGTTCTTGTCATTTGGCCCACAGGTGGTGAGACAGAAGAAGAAAAGATTCGAGTAGACATCATAGAAAATCAAGTAATGGATTTCCGCATGCAACTTGTACGGATCTGCTACAACCCTGACCATGTGAGTTGTAATTCTCCTGTTAATCTCTTCCCTTCTACAAATTAGGTAGCGAGAAGAGGAGTTGAGACTGAACCCTGCCTGATCAGTTACAAAGAGATGACGTCAATTCTTCTCTCTGTTTCTCAAGGAAAAGTTGAAGCCTCAATACTTGGAACAACTACCTGGACAACTGAAACAGTTTTCTTTGTTCCTGGGGAAATTCTCTTGGTTTGCAGGGGAAAAGGTAGGAAGAAGGAAAAGGTGAGAACATGGTTCTATCTCTGCAGGTATTAATGAACTCTCCAGACCTGATGATATTTTTGTCCTTCTAGCTCACCTTTGTGGACTTTCTCACTTATGATGTCTTAGATCAGAACCGCATGTTTGAGCCCAAGTGCTTGGATGAGTTCCCAAATCTGAAGGCTTTCATGTGCCGTTTTGAGGTAAGACTCCTTGTACCATTCACTTACAAAAACACTCAAAGGCTCCACTCTGTGAGGGACCCCATGGAAGTTGATTCTTCTCCTTTCCAACTCAGCTTTTGACAAAAGGGGCTAATGATGGGACATCTAAGCTTTTAAGTCTTGGTAAGGAGCTCTGGTAGCATAGTGGTTACAAATCAATCTGTGAACCTTAAGGTCAGCGGTTCAAAACTACAAGCTCTTCCGTGGGAGAAAGATGAGGCTTTCTGCTCCCGTAAAGATTACAGCCTCAGAAACCCTGTACAGGGTCACTATGAGTCAGAACCGGCTCCACATCACATAACCAACCAACCAAAAGGCCTGGATCCTTTGACCCCAAAAGCATTGTCTACCAGAAATGAGGGAAGGTGAAGGCCAACAGCATGTGAATATTGTAGATACAGTTTGAGTCTGTTCAACTGGGTTTGCATCCTTAAAAGGTTTGGTTTGATTTTCTCTCAGGCTTTGGAGAAAATAGCTGCATACATGCAATCCGACCGCTTCTTCAAGATGCCCATCAACAACAAGATGGCCCAGTGGGGAAACAAGAGGCTGTGCTGAGCAGAAAGCAGAGATGCACTATTTGTCTTGTTCCACCGTGTCCCTAGGGGCCTTTTCCTCTATCATTTCTGTTCTTTTCAATAAATAGTGCTTAAGCTACTGGTGTCCAGTTGGATTGCTCTTGGGAGTAAAGGAAAATAGAACGTATGGAGGGTTATCAAGTTGTGAATGCAGTCTTCTCACTATTGACATCCCCTTGCTCCCCAGCTGTGCCCTGGGTTGGTAAAAGTTCATGACCAAACATGCAGAGTGGGGACTGGACATAAAGGTGGTGGTTTGGTGGACGGTTATGGAGAGGAAGTATGCTAATGGGGCTGGCGGCCCTCTAGAAGGTCCAGTGAAAATTCTTTGGTACTGATAGTAGTGAGGGACTACAGTTCAGAAACAGACCCATGTACATATGGAAATGTAGAATGACAAAGCTGGCATTTCCAAGTGGCAGGCTCACCAATAAATGGAGCCTAGACAGTGGCTTTCCAGTTAAAAATAATAGAATCCTACCTTACCCCTGAAGGAGCTCTGGTAACATAGTGGTTACGAATCGGGCTATGAATCGCAAGGTCAGCAGTTCGAAACTACCAGTGATGATTCCGCAGGAGAAAGATGAGGCTTTCTGCTCCCATAAAGATTTATAGCCTTGGAAACCCTGTTAAGGGTCGCTATGGGTCAGAACCGACTCGACGGCACTTAACAACAACAACAACCTTACCCCTGAGATATGCAGATGATACAACCTTGCTTGCTGAAAATCAAGAGGACTTACAGTACTTACTCATAAAGGTCAAAGACCACAGCCTTCAGTATGGATTGCATCTCAATGTAAAGAAAACAAAAATCCTCACCACTGGACCAATAAACAACATTCTTTTCATTGGAGAAAAGACTGAAGTTGTCAAGGACTTCATTCTTCTTGGACCAGCCATCAATATTCATGGAAGCAGCAGTCAGGAAATCAGACAACATATTGCATTCGGCAAATCTGCTGCACAGGAACTTTTCGGGGTGTTACAGAGCAAAGATGTCAGCTTGAGGACTACGGTGCACCTGACCCAAGCAATGATATTTTCAATAGCCTCATACGCATGTGAAAGCTGGACAGTGAATAAGGAAGACTATAGAAGAACTGATGTATTTGAGTTATGGTGTTGGAGGAGAATATTGAAACCACCATGGACTGCCAAAAAAACAAATAGATCTGTGTTGGAAGAAGTGCAACGAGAGTGCTCCTTGGAGGCCAAGATGGCCAAACTTCGTCTCTCATACTTTGGACATATTGTCAGGAGGAACCAGTCATTGGAGAAGGATATCATGTTTGGTAAGATGGAGGATCAAGGAGCTCTGGTAGCGTAGTGGTTACGAATCGGGCTGTGAACCTTAAGGTCAGCAGTTCGAAACTACCAGTGGTTCCGCGGGAGAAAGATGAGGCGTTCTGCTCCCATAAAGTTTTACAGCCTCAGAAACCCTGTACAGGGTCGCTATGAGTCAGAACCGACTCCACGGCATATAACAACAACAAGGTGGAGGGTCAGAGAAAAAGAGAAAGATCCCCAGTGAGATGGATTGGCAAAGTGGCAGCATCAGTGGGCACAAGCATGGCAACAATTGTGAGGTTGGCTCGGGACCAGGCAGTGTTTCGTTCTGTTGTGCATAGGGTTGCTATGAGTTGGAACTGACTCGATGACACCTAACAACAACAACCTTTCACCAGTCACTAAAATTCATCTGGAATTTAAACAAAGCATTGAACACAAAATGTAGGAGCGTTAACAAAACTAAAAATGCTTGGGATCATAAAGTAGAGGAATTTTGTCTAACCAGAACATAAAAAAAGAAAAAGTGAAAATGTATAAATGGAACAATATCAAAATGTAAAACTTCTCTATGATAAGATACAAGTAAGCAAAATTAAGAGAAGGTGACACAAAGGATCAGTGCCGGGGTCTGGCCTCGACAAGGGGGTGAGTACACGAAGGTGGGGTGTCTGGTGATGAGAGAGAGAGAGAAAACAGACACAAAGAAGACAGACACATGGGTTTGATGCAAGCTGCCAGACAGACTGCTCAGTGGCAGACATTGTACACAGAACTAACTCTAGGTGGGATGTCTGGAGAGGCTAGAGAGAAAAGAAACACTCGGAGACCAAAGTGGATACAAAACCGGCAGATAGACTCTCCATGGCCCTGCAAGCAGTAATGCATGCGGGCTTCAGTCTGCGTCCGTCTTTTATACCAGGGAGGGACTTTACACAAAGGAAGAAGGGGATTATTAAGACAGGGTACAGAAATGAAATGTGATTAATAGTTCAAAACAGGACACAATGATTTACAGGAACAAATTCTAAAACATCACAAATTGTCTTGATAATCTAACATCCTTAATTTTCCAGAAATTCAAGCAAATTTATATAGTACTTTTCACTTTCGAATCCCAGGGCAGCAGCTCTAATCTTCAATGGGTAAAGGTGAAAAGGATTTCAAAAGGTCTGAAGAAAGTAAAACTGTTTCAGATACCTGGTTTAAGCTTTCAGGAGGAAGGAGAACATATAGGTCAAACTGATTACACCCGGGGGCGGTTTGAAGGGGCTGCCACCATTGTCTCTTAATCCAGTGTTCCCAGAATTTACCACTCCACCTCAAGTGAATACCCCGGGCAGTTCCTCTCCAGAACCTCCCTGCTTAATCCTAGTAAACCTGTCCTTGTTCATCCTCTGAGGAAGTTTTACTGTCTCGGTTCTAGAGGGAAATTTGGTTTTACATGGATACCAAGAGCTCATGTTCTAAGTTTAATATTAAACATAACTGAATAATCAAATAAGAAGCAGTTCTGACACTCTTAAAAGTTTTATGAGGCCTGTAAGTAAGCCTTTTGGTCCTCAACAGATTAGTATAAAGATCATTTTTAAAAACTCATCAATCATTAAGGCAAATCACTTTAAAAAAAAAAAAAAAAAGTAATCTATGAACAAATTATAGAAACAAATATCTAAGGCCCCCAAAGAAATGCAAAAAGGTACTTGACTATGATCCAAGGAACTGCAGATTACAACAGTATGATAGTGTTATTCCATCAGATGAACAAAAATTCAAATTATGAAGTGTTGGCAAGACTTGGGAAAGTGATGTCTTTTTTTGGCAAGTGAATTTTTAAATTGGTACAATTCCTTTGGAGGATAGTTTGTCAATATCTTTGAAGATTTGAATCATGTACTGTGAGCTAAGAACTCATCCTATAAATAACCAATTACCCCAAAGAAGGAGATTTGGTGGCATGGTGGTTAAAGTGCTTGGCTGGTAACTGAGAAATTGGCAGTTCAAACCCACCAGTTGCAGGAGAAAGATGTAGCAGTCTGCTTCCGTAAAGATTCCAACCTTGGAAAGGGAAGTTCTATTCTGCCTTAGGGTAGCTGTGAGTTGGAATCCACTGATGGCAGTGGGTTTTATATGCAAAGAGGGATCTACTGTACATTGTGGCATTGCTTTTAATAGCAAATAAGTGGAAACTATGTAAATGCCCATTCATGCTGTAGAACACCATATGAAGTGCATGTTTGTTGTTAAGTGCCATCGAGTCGGTTCCAACCTATAGAGACCCTATATAGGGTTTCCAAGGAGCAGCTTGTGAGCTTGAACATCCGACCTTGCAGTTCAAATGGCTTTGCAGTCTGATGCATTAACCCACATACAAATATCTCCAAGATATTTGAAATTTTGGAATTAGGTCATAAATTAGTATTACAGTGTATCTTTTATGTTCTAAAAATGGCAATCACAAAGTTATTTTCTACAGATACATGAATAGAAAAAGGTCTGGAAGACATATCAATCTGGTAACAAGTATGAGAGGCCTGAGTTTCAGGATGTAAGGTAACAAACATTGAAGGTTAATGTTTACTTTCTTTTCTCCCCTTTAAACAAGCAGATGTATTCATGCACTACTGTACAATAGAAGCTAAATTTAAAAACAAAAGCAACTAAAAAGAAATTGATCCCGTAGAGTCTGAGTTGACACACTCTCCAGTCACTGAGCAAATCTTGGAGTCTTCAGCCTTAGAGAGTGTCCTGGGCTGAGATTACTGTCCTATGTGAGCCAGAAACCAAGGCTCTACTGGCCAGAACTGCCTGAAGGCCTGGGAAGTACAGTCACAAGATGTGAAGTACATAGTTCAACTGCCACCTTTAGCAAAGAGTACTTAGGTGTCCAGGTCAGTATCTTGAGTACTGGAAGCCTATGGTGAGGTTATATTGTCAATCTGATAGTATTAGCAATGTTGCTTATTGGTCCATTATTACCTTTGTTGTTATTACAGTTTAGCAGCTTCGAGCAATTTAGGCTTACTGTCTTACAGTGTGTGGGTCGGGTCCAGGTATAGCTTCTCTGAGTCCAGTACATCAGAATGTCATCTGAAAGCTGCAATCATTTGCAAGAATTGAGACTGCAAACCAAGGGTGCAGTCTCAAGACTTTACTGGAGCAGGATCCATTTCCATCTTGGTGTGACTGTGGGCAGAATTCTGTTCCTTGTGGCCTCTTGGAAAGATATCCTAAGTTTCTTGTTGGCTGTCAGCTAGAGGCCACCGTTGTTAGTTCCTTACACTGTGAGTCTCCACAACATGGCCATTTGCTTCTTCAAAGCCAGCAAGGTAGAAAGTCACTTTGAAAGAGGGATACTTACAATCCTGTGGAGAAGCCCTGGTTAAACACTCACCTGCCAACCAAGATTGGCAGGTGAAACTTACTCAACAGCTCCACAAGAGAAAGACCTGGTAATCTGCTGCCGTAATGATTCCAGTCAAGAAAACCCTGTAAGGTAGTTTTCTATTCTGTTACATGGCTATGAGTCAGAATCAACTCAGTAGTACCCAAAATCAACAACACAGTCCTGGGTAAAGTAACCACAGAGTTGACACTCTGAAGCCTTGGCCATATTCTGTTGGTTAGAGTCAATCACAGGTCCTGCCCACACACAAGGGTGTGAGTACCAGGAGGCAGGATCATGGAGGA